ACTGCAGTGGCTGACCGGCAGAAAACCCGCAGGGGAGCGCGGCGTTTTAAGGGCTGGGAGAGCCGGCGATGTTGCGCACGGAGCGGGGGCTCGAGTCGTGGAAAGTATTAAATCTGGGAAGGTGGCTGTGGAGTGAAAGAGCTGGTTCTAGGAGAATTGGCAGCGAAGCAGTTTGTAACGGGAGAATAAGATAGATGCATTTCAACTGCAGCTTAAATCGAATTAGCAGCAAGACAGAAAATTGGTTGGGTGACTTCTGAAGCCCCTCCTAGTCTGCTTCTCGGGGTAGCACCAACAGGTGTGCCCCTTAAAACTGCCCAATGATGGTAAATATTGGGAGTTATCCAGATTCAGTGAATGTGTGTGTTAACACGAGAGATTAGCTCAGTTTGCATCTTTTACCCCACTTTGATCAAATGCTGTGTTTAATTGTGGGGTTTGAGATGTTGTAATGCACACCCTGGATATCCAGTGGTCCTGCTTCTTCTAAAAAAGTTGGTGTATGTGAATGTGCAAAATACCCAGTAGTGTGGCTAAAATGAAGAGAGACTAGCATGTCTCATCAAGAGCACCGTGCTGCTTCGCACCCACTGGGGGGTCGCGCTTCCTGGAGACATGCTAACAGCATAAGCTGGTTTTGGGGCCTTGGCCCAGAGTTTGCCACAGCCCTTTGCTGTCCAGTCTGGGTAAATCAGCACTTACCTTTGTTGTGATCCATATATTTCGCTCCCCCCTTCCTACAGCGCCTGACCAAACACACCAAGTTTGTGCGAGACATGATCAGGGAAGTCTGTGGCTTTGCACCCTACGAGAGACGTGCTATGGAACTCCTGAAAGTCTCCAAAGATAAACGTGCTCTGAAGTTCATAAAGAAACGGGTAGGTCAATCCGATGTCTTGAGGATGGCAAAACCTCCGCTATAGTTAACTTTCTGTCTTCTGCCCTTCCCTAGGGATACTTTGCTTTTTAATTAATGCTCTTATTTTTTCAGTTGTTCAGGAAGTTATTGGTCTAATCTGAGGGAGTGGAGGGGAATGCTCCTTGGGTTGGGTGGGAGAGCGGGAGATGGACGTAAAGATACTTTGCCAAAAAGGCCCTGAGCTACAGTGATCCAGACTTGCCTGGTTATTTCTGTGTTATTTGCAAATCTGACGCAGGGAAGAGGAGAGCAGTACTGATGGAGACTGGATACCATTAAGCAGGCGACTTGAAGTGGGGTTCATTGAGGGCAGCTATGAGAGCTGAAAGCAGCTTCTACCTTGCCTCAGATAATTCTTGAGTGGAAGTACTACTGGGATGCAATGGCAAGTAGTTCCGGGCTGGCCAGTCAAGGTGGATGGCGTTCGAGTCCCATGTTTACCAGGACTTTACCATCCTGCCTGCTTTTTGAGTAAAATACCTTCAGGGAATGCCTGAAACAGCCAAGAAGTTTCCTCTGTTCTCTGCTGGGATGAATGCTGACTGCACTGCTCTCCCCCCTGCAGGTTGGCACTCACATTCGGGCCAAGCGAAAGCGGGAAGAACTCAGTAACGTCCTGGCAGCCATGAGGAAAGCTGCTGCAAAGAAGGATTGAGTTGTACAGTCTGTAACTCTATAATAAAGTCCTTTCTCACAAAAACAGTGCAGTGACTCTCGGTGGTACATCTGCTTCAGTCTGTAGGAACGGGGTGCTCCTGGGGATGCTGAGGGACTGTAACGACAAGGCCCTGAACTGCAGTAATCCAGAACTCGCATCGCTGTTTCATTGTACCTGCAGCTGGAGTTGCTGGTACTGGCCGGTGATGTATTCTAGAGGGGGAATCCTCCTCCTCCAGACCTTGCGGAGCTCACCTTTCTCAGGATGTGGAAGCCTCTGCAATAGCTAAGCCTGTGCAGGCTGTGATATCTTCCACCTCCCAGTCTGTCTCTAGACCTAGATGATGGTAGGAGGGAAGTCAGTGGACAAAAATCACTGTTGAAAATACTAACAACTTTGCACTCCTTCCCTGTGGCACTGCAACCTTGTGCAGCTTTTCCTGCTCATGCATTTCCCTGTGTACCCTCCATTTGTGCCCTACTTTCTGCGGTGTGTTACTGAATCATGAGAATTATGGTCAGTAAGAGCTCCCTGAATTTGCAGTGATTT